CGCTGAGGCAAGAGCCAGGACAAACAGAGCCAGGAGGAAAAATAACCTCGCCACCACAAAGCTCCAGTCTCTTGGAGACACAGTGTCACACCTGACGGTCGCTCACGCCACACGACGAGGTGTCCATTATTCATTGTGTTCCCAACAAAAGGGCTTTCTGTTTCCAGCTCAAGCCAGGCTATTGTACACCACCTGAGGATGGAAAGCAATGTGGAGAGCCCCAAGCTCTGCCAGCTGCTGGCATCTACCCTACAGGAGACGTAGTCCTTCATCCCAGACCCCGGCTGCCCATGGAGGCCAGATGGAGGCTAGAAGAAATCCAAGAGCAAAGCTCGTTTCACAGAAGCTCCCAGGGAGTTGGAAGTCAGTCACGGTACCCCACAGACCAAAGCTGAACAAAAGCGCTGTTTCCTCCTCCTGTCCTTCGGCTTTCCTTCTCTCCATGTCAGTGGAGACCTTCCCTTAGTTCCACATCTGTGCCCCGCCCCCACCGCACTTGGTCTCACACCCCTCCCACAATCCCACGCTCCTCTCTTTGGTTTGTCTATGGCAGATGGGATGGAATATTGCCCTCATGGGGGCTTTTGTTTTTATTTTTCATGACTGGATCTCAGTAGGCCAGGCTGGCCTTGAACTCACTACGTAGCTGAGGGTGATACTGGACTGATCCTACGCCTCCTCCCCAAACAGTAGGATTGCAGGTGGGCCCCACCACACCGGGCCCTCACGGGGGTTAGTAGCTCTCTGGCACTTGTTCTCAGAGTCGTCCACACACTCTGTCTTTAGTGTGTGAAAGCAGAAGAGATGAATAAGAAGAGAAGCCTGGAAACTGGTTGGCTTCTAGAAGGATAAGGCAGGGACAGACGGCACTCTGGATGGCATGTGGAGGGTGTTTCTGCGGAATTAGCTCTTGGTTCTGGTTTGGTGACCTGGGGTAAGCCATGGGTCAGGCCTCCCTGAACTGGAACCTGATCAGGTGTCAGCAAATGACTGGTAGAGGAATGTCCCTGGGCAGGCCGTCTGGCTGCCTCTCGGCCTCGGTTTCTTCACATGTCCCCATTTGGGGACAGTAACCTCCTCCCTCTCGGTTCTTGGGTCTTGGGTGGGATCAGTTTGGCAGGCAATGTGGAGAAGAGAGACTCTTAGAGACATGGCAAGGTGAAAAGAAAGTTAGCCAGCTTCCACGTAACTGCCTTTCCCCTTTCTTTCCTACAGAGTTTTCGCATATGCATGTGTATATATGTGTGTATGTGTGTATATTTTGAGGTGGGGTTTTCTATGCAGCCTTCAAACTCACAAGCCTCCCTCCTCAGCCTTTCAAGTGCTGATTATGGCTGTACACTATTATACCATCTCTTGAGTGATTTTTTTCCTAGTTTTCTCTCCTTTCTATCTGTGCCCTGCCCCGTTCCCCCACTGACAAGATCTGTCTTGGTAAAGGACCATTTAACAGTCATTTACACCTGAGTGTGAATTTAAGCCCCACCCCACCCCCACCCCTCAGCCTCAGGTCCCTCACACTTGCCTCTGACTGGTGGGAATGGCTTTATGGTCATGAACCCTGGACTTCAGTGATTGTTAGGTTGTGTCAAGGACTAGAAATCTGCCTTTCAAAGCAAGCAGGGTAATTGGGGTTCAGGGGCTCTGCTCATGGGACTGAGGAGAACACTGATTTCTAGAGCTGGGGGCTTTAGGAAGAGACAAGCAGGGGTCCCAGAGAACTTGTTCCGATGCCAGGGCCCTGCCTTCTCTGGAAGGGACTCCAGGTAAGTACCAGAGAGAACTGCTATTTTCGTCCAAAGGTGGGATCTTGGATGCCACTTCACATAGCCCTTCATCCCAACGCTTTCTGAAACCTGTCCAGGTGGGGACAGAAGAGGTCTCCCAAGGCTGAGCAATTGGCCTCAAGTCTCCCCAGGTGACTGGCAGAGGAGAGCCTGGGGCCAGTGCTCAGGATGATGTCTCTATAATGCTGCTCCCTGGGCCAGAGCTGTCTGGTGTCTCTTTCCGGGTCCTCCCTTCCCCTCGGCTGTTCTGGTCTGGTCAGGCATTGTTGAGAAGTGTGTGACAGGAACTCCCCTCTGAGAGCCCCTCGTTCCCGAGTCCTGTCATTCCTCTTCCTGTTCTCTATTGCTCTCATCCATCAAAATTCTGGATGGACAGGGGGCCAATCCCGTTCTTGCAGAGGTAGGTGTAGTGGGCACCAGAGACCGTTACCCGGGCAGAGGAGACTAACACATGACTCCATCTGTCACATACAATGCCACATGGCTCAGTCCCCAGCATGACGTTTGATCCACAGCTGGATCCCGACCTGATGGACCTCATGAGCCCTCCACAGGAGATGGAATGTCCTCCACAGCTGTGGGCACTATGTTATGCAGGGACACCAAATGGCTGGTGGCCACATCTCCAGAATGTGGGAAGCATGGCAGAAGCAAGGGACACGGGGAAGAAAGTGGACCCAGGACAGTGAGTGCTGGGGAGGACTGGTGTGTGCCCCTGGTCACATGGAGGGAATGGGGACCAGAATGAGGGCAGAAGCCTGGTGGGAGATGGCTAGAGATGGCCAGTGCAGACCCCAGCAAAGAGGGTAGGATAAACAGGGCTGTGGGCTAAATGCAGATGGGGGACCAGAGGGATCTCTGTTCAGTTTAAAGAAGAAAGAACTGGCAGCATCTTCTGACAGTGAGAACGGCCCTGGAAGAGGGGAACAAGAAGACTCTGGAGCAAGGGTTTTTTTTCTGAATGGATTTCTGAGGGGGTGGGATTGCAGGACCTATATAGGGCCGCACTTTGCACGTGCTCAGATGGTTCATCCCCAGGAACGAGGTGGAAAGTCAAGAATGCGAGTGTGGACCTGAGGCTGCAGGGCACTGGCATGGAGGGGCTCTTTTAGCTGCAGTGTTCACAGTGAATTTGCAGGCAAGGGAGGCTGTGCAGATAGCCTAGAACAGTGGTTCTCAGCCTTCCTGATGCTGGGACCCTTCAATACAATTCCTCATGGTGTGATGACCCCCCAACCACAAAATTATTTTTGTGGCTACGTCACAACTGTAATTTTGCTGCTGTTACCAACCATAATGTAAATATCTGATATGTGACCTCCCTAAAGGGGTCACGACCCACAGGTTGAGAACTGCTAGCTTGGACATTTGTAGAGAGGATAGGACATTGTTGGCTGGAAGGGTGACTGGGACAGACATTCACTGCCAGGCCTACCAGGGCTTGCTGGAGTGAGTAGGTATGGATGACAGCGGGATCCCACAGCATAGGGAGTCCAGCCTCACCTTGGACCGCTCCATCTGCATGTGTAGGAGAGAATGCCACCTAGGTAAGGCCAGTCTGCAGCAAGCAGAGGGTCAGGCAAAGCCTTCTTCAGCCCCGCTCCCGGTGCTCACTGTGGACCTGCTGACGGGGGCTGCGGCCCTTTCGCCTCCCTCGTCTGGCCCATCGCAAACCCAGCCACGTCTGCTTCCAAGGGACCAACTTTGGTTCTAAGTCAGAAAAAAAGCTAAGCCAAGCTGTCCTAGAGGTGGGGCATCCTCTCTCCATAGAGGTGTGTGACCCACACCCTCAGAAGGATTAGCAGTAGCTGGGGTGGGGGGAGGTGTTGGAGAGAGGAACAAATTTTGTACCGCGCCTTGACTGTGGAGTCTGCAGATCCCTGTGTGACTTAGGGCTCAGCCGCTCTCTAGCTGGATGGCGTCACCAAGCCCTCCTGTGTCTTTGAGCCTCAGTTTTCTAATCTGTAAAGTGGGTGCTGGGGACCCAGAGTGTGCAGGTTCATGCCCTTAGCACACGTGGCAGAGGTAAACATTGCTGTGTTCCCGAAGCCCTGCTCAGGCCAAAGCACAGGATCGTGGAAGGAAGCGGGAAAGGTCACTGGACTGAGATGGCTGGTTCGCTGGCGAGATGAAGGTGAGAACCCTAAGCCGCTGGCCTCTCCCTGTGGGCCGTATGCACATGGTCTTGTCCTGACACATGGCAGCCATGCCCCTGGGGCAGGACACTCACCCTTTCTGCACAGTAGGTGCACAGAAATTCCAGGCGCACACAGAAAACAAGCGTTCTGCATGCAGATGCACACACACACACACACACACACACACACACACACACACACACACTGACCAGATTTCTGCCTGCAGTGAGGGTTCAATTCCCATTGTTAGTTGAGGAAATAGAACTTCAGCTCAGGCTGGGACTTAGGCTGGGCCAGTCTTCATCTGGCTCATCCAGGGCTCTGTTCTCAAAGCCATGCTTGGTGGTAAGCTAGGTCCTGCAGCCCCCTACTAAGCAATTGTGACAAATCCTCATCCTCAGGTCCCACAGGACTCACCTGCCTGTGCTCTCTGGAGGTTCCTCCCAAACACATCCCTTATATTATTATTATTATTATTTCTTCTTCTTCCTCTTCTTCTTCTCCTCCTCCTCCTTCCTTTTCTTCTTCTCTTTCTCCTCCTCCTCCTCCTTTTTTCTTCTTCTTTCAAGACAGGGTTTCTCTGTGTAACAGACCTGGCTGTCCTGAAACTCACTTTGTAGACCAGACTGGCCTTGAACTCACTGAGATCTGCCTGCCTCTGCCTCCAAAGTGCTGGGGTTAAAGATGTGTGCCACCACTACCCAGCCCTTTTATTATTTTTTATTTAAATATTTTATTTTTATTTCTCTCTCCTCACCTCTTCTCTCTGTCTCTGTGTCTCTGTATACAAGTGCCTGCAGAGGTCAGAAGAAGGTGTTGGATCTCATGGAGGTGGAGTTACAGGAAGTTGTGAGTCAGTCATTGAGTGTGAGTGCTGGGAACTGAACTCTGGTCCTCTGGACGAGCTGCACCAGCTCTTAACCGCTGAGCTCTCTCTCCTGAACACATGCCTTTAAAAAATAAGATATTGGAGTGACAATGTGGCATTCTATGCCTCAGCTGGCGTTGAATTTGGAAACAATGTTCTCCAATCATGCGCAGGGCTCTCAGAAAGGCCCTGAAGCAGAGAGGGGGAGGAACATGTTCCTTCTTCCCAAGCAGCCTGAAGCCACCTGCTTGTGTGCTCAGGGCCACAGGTGTGGCTTTCCTGGAGCCAAAATAACGCTTCAAGCTTGCCTAGCCCAGGACTCTGTGTTCCCACTTGCTGCCCAGCTCCCCACCCCAGCATGCCTGGCTGCTCCCCAGGAAACAGGGCAAACAAGCTTCTATTGATTGCCGTCATGGCTGGGAGAATGCGCCTTTGTTGCCTCCACGCCTCCTCCCCCAGGGTCCGTGCCCACAGGACAGGTGTTCAGGTAAGAGGCAGCCAGGCCTTGAGCCTTTCCTAGGTATCCAGGAGGGGACAAAAAGGACTAGAATGGCCCAGCCCCAACAGTGGCCTCTGTGCCTTCCTGTGTTCTTCCCTCTTCTATCTGCCATGTCTCCAGCCTGGCCCCCTTCTGTACCCTGCTCTTGGGCCGTGGAGCCCCAGGCTGTTCAGTGTTCAGACCCTCCCCACCTCAGGGCAGAAGCTCATGTGGTGAGGAAACACTGTTTATTCTTGTCCACAGCCCCGTGCCCAGCCCGGAAGTACATCCAGTCTCGGAGAACAAACTAAGTCCTATTTAGATCTTCAAAGCTACTCTGGTCTGTTACCCACCCCCCCCCCCCCCCCCCCCCCCCCCCCCACCCTCACCCCCTCACTATGTAGGCCAGGCTGCTCTCTTTTTTTTTTTTTTTTTTTTTTTTTTGGTTTTTTGAGACAGGGTATCTCTGTGTAGCTTTGCGCCTTTCCTGGAACTCGCTTTGGAGACCAGGCTGGCCTCGAACTCACCGAGATCCGCCTGCCTCTACTTCCCGAGTGCTGGGATTAAAGGCGTGCGCCACCACCGCCACCACCGCCCGGTCAGGCTGCTCTTGAACTCCTGGGCTCCATCCTGCCCTCCCCAGCCTTCTGAAAAGCTGGGGTTACAGGCACAAAGCACCAGGCCTGGGTTTTCAGAGATTTCAGTGGTGGTATTTTGTGTGTGTGTGTGTGGGGGGGTGCATTTACGCCTGTGTGTGGAGGTCAGAGACAACTTTATGTGGTCACTTCTGCCTTTACGTCAATTCTGGGGACCAAACTCAGGTCATCAGGCTTCCCAGAAGGCCCTTTCCTCTCTGAGCCGCCCCACTGGCCCTCATGAGATCTTTGGGTTCTCAGAAGTCACTCAAGCTCCTCTGTCGGGCTTTGACGCACTCCCTAATTTGGGCGTAAACCACCTCTCGTGTGCCCCTCCTGCTGGCCTTGATACGCCATAGCCTAGCCAGGCACTGCTCTAGCCCTGCTTACCGAGCATGCGCGGTGTACCACCGTTGCTCAAGGGACTAGAGCCGCTTCTCCTGAGGGAGTTGGGTTGCAGACTATCAACTGGGGCTGGGAATCACAGTGGTCACTTGCTCTCCGCAGTTTGCGCTGTGGGGTTTTCTGTGATGGTCTCTGTCCGTTGCTAAGAGACGTTTCTTGGATGAGGGGTGAGGCCCACACTTTTCTGTGGGCATGAGGATAAATATTTAGAACGAAGTTAGGAATTACGCCGATTTGGTAATGTGGCGATTGTAGATTCTCCTCCAAGGTCCATGTCTTCGCTAGTCCTGGGTGGTTAGCCTTGTTGTCGTTACCAGCCAGGCACGGCTTCCCTTTGTTGAGCAGGCCTTAAGTCCAATTAGAGAGCTGTTGGTTACCGTCAAGGTGCGAGCGCCACTACTGTGCCCTTAGGGCTGCTGCGCCATGCTGGTCATTACTGGGACTCACGGCATTGTAGCTGGACTGTTGCTTGCTTTACTCCCTTGGAAGCTTGCGTGGTGCCTTCTGGTACCATGAAAGCTAGTCCTCAGGGAAGAGGCCTTCAAGTCAGATCCAGCTGCAGTCCTCTGGGTCCTGTGTTCAAAGTGCACAGTGTCTTCAGCAATAGGGGATTACCTTCCACCTTGAGAGGCAACCAAGAACAGCCATAGTCTGTAGTGGTTGGGATTCTCTTGGAAAACACCAACCAACAGCTCAGAGGGGGCTTCTCACATCTGGTGCTGGGGGGTTTGTTGGACAGTCTCTGGCTCTTGGGGGAAGCACTGTCAGTCCAGATGAGACATTTTTGTTTAAATTATATATCTGCACATAGACTTACACGTAATTTTAGGTAGATAGCTGATAGTGTTATTTGATGGTTTTCAGCATCCTTACTGTTACTTACCCTTCTTCCCTCTCCTTCTGTACTGACTCCCTCCCCCTCTCTCATAAGACCTGCCTTTCCCATTTCTGCTTCTCATCAGTTGTACCTTGCTTTCTCTCTCTCTGTTGCTCTTCCCTCCTACATGTGGTATCTTTCTAGTTTCCTGTTTTCTCCAATTATTCTAGGTTGCATGTTCATATCTGAAGGTTTGGTTTGCTCCATTTTTTTTTTAATTTATCTATTTCATCTTGTTTTTGAGATGGAATTTCCTGTAACCCAGGCTGACCTTGAACTCACTCCATAGCCTTTAACTTCTAATATTCCTGCCTCTGCCTCCCAAGTGCTGGACTGCAGGTGTGCACCATCACGCCCAGGTTATTCAACTCTGGGGACTGATCCCAGGGCTTCGTGCATGTTCAAGTAAGTAGTCTACCAACTGAGCTTCGTGCCAGCTCAGTCTTAATGACCTGTGGTCACTTCTTTAGGCCGTGAGATTCTGGTCTTCAGATGCCAGCCTGACCCTAATCTCTTTCCTCATCTTCTCTTCGATGTGACACTCCACTCCCAGGGCGTCATCAAGGCAGACGTTCTGTCCTCTGTGTTCCTGCCCGTGATGTGCCAGAGTAGATGAGCACACCCACGGGAGCCCATTCGGGACAAGGACGTGCAAGAGTGGACACTCCCTGCCATGAGAATCCAGAAGGACATCGCTGTGACACTAACTTCAGTGAACTGGCAGTCATCAAGAAGAACCAGAGCTCATTCCAGGGCTGTGCACTGTACATCTCATTGTTTCCCTGGGCACATGGTGTCAGAGATTCAGAAATATTACAGAGGCCTTGGCTACTTGCAAAACTGTGACGCCTTGCTGGCACCAGCCAGTTTTAAACCTTTTCCTTTTGGGTTAGATTTGGGATGTCAGCAGTAATAACAATCAACAGTAGCTGCTTTACCAACTACAAATAAAGTCTCTCGTCTTTCTACTGACGCCCTGAGGATGCCGGCGTGAGTCTGAGACAGGTGACACAATGTGCTAGAGGTCACCCAGGTGATTCTCACTGCCAATCAAGCCCCAGCTCCCAGGCTAGTGGGCACCCAAGGCCTTGATCTCTACCAGCTTGGCCACCAGGTGCTAGATCAAGGCAGCAAGTGGGTAGGGAGGCTTAGGAACCTCAGGCCCTCAGAAAACAGTCTCGCCCTCAGGAAACTCAAGGCACAGAAAAGCCACTGATATCTGTATTAAGAGCTTGGCTCTAGGGCTGGGTCTGCCTTCTTATCTGCTGTGCGTCTCTACTCACGTTGCTTACCCTCTCTGTGTCATGGTGTCCACCCTGTAATGGAGCAATAAGCTCCTTCTCTGGGGCCCGCTCTGACAAGGATGCACAGCGATGTTTGTGGGTATGCTTTGAAGCTGCCGTGTGTTGTTATCTATTCCTGGAATAGCATGGGAATCAGAAACCATGTGATGGGGGAATGCTGGGCTGGGCTTGCTCTAGGTGGAGAGAGGCAAGTGAACCTATTGCCCAGCCAAGCTCACATGACGAGACAGAACCGCTAAGTAGGTCAGCTTTTGGCAGAAAGAGCTATTCCTGGACCTGCCTGTCCGTGCAGCGCAGGAGCTGAAAGTAGAGCCCAGCTATTTCCGGGCTGCCAGAGAACACTGCTCAACAGCTTTCTCTTGGATCCTGGCCCTGCCTTTGTGGCTTGGGCCTGAGAGGCCAGGAGGCCCTTATGAGCTCAGGGCCAGTGTTCTGTGGGCACTCTAGGGTAGAGACAGTGACCTAGGAGTATCTCAGCATAGCTGTCCATCCCCTAGGCACCATGCCTAAGCAGCTGTGGGTGAGGCTGAATGACCATACTACAACCCAATGACTGCTTACACAGGCCTGGCTTCCTCACGTAAAGTGTGTGTGTGGTGTGTGGTATGTGTATGATGGTGTGTGCATGGTGTGTGTGTATGTGTGTGTGTGATGTGTATATATGGAGTGTTTTATATATATGGTACTTACTATGTGTGGATGTATATGGTGTGTGTGTGAGGGGCATGTCTATGGTGTGTGTGTATGGCATGTTGTGTGTATATGGATATGTGTGTAATGTGTGTATGAGATATGGGATGGGGCATGTCTATGGTTTGTGTGTATGGTATATTGTGTGTATATGGATATGTGTGTAATGTGTGTATGAGATATGGGATGCATACATAGTGTGCTTATGTATGGTGCCATGTGTGTGATATGTGGTATGTGTATATGATGTGATGTATATGTGGCGTGTGGTATATGGTGTGTATATAAATCAATATAGTGTGTATGTACTATGTGTGTTATGTTGTATATTTTTGGGGCGTGTGTGAGGTATGTTTGTGTGTATAAAATGTGTGTGACATGTGACAGTATTTGTGTCCTAGCAACATTTATTTACTTATTTATTTTGAGACAAGGTTTCACTGTGTAACCCTGGTTGCCTGGAACTCACTATGTAGATCAAGCTGGCCTTGAACTTTTGGAGCTACACTGCCTCTGCCTCCCTAGTTCTGGGGTTCAAAGTGTGCACCCCCATTCCCTAGCAGTGTTTTAGGATTCATGAGATCGATAGCACTGTGCACAGTGGTACCTGTTTGTCCTTGAGCTTCTAGGACCTTCCAGGCCGTAATGGTGACTGTGGGAAGGACAGAAGCACCTGCATGGGGTGGCTGAAGAGTACCCCAAAGAGTGCCCCATCTGGGCAGAGTGGCACACACCTGCAATCCCAACACTGAGCGCGGAGGCAGGAATGCTCAGAGTTCGAGGCCAGCCTGGGTTCTGTGTGAGACGTGGTCTCCAAACCAAAATGAAACAAAACACAACTAAAGAATCCCTTCAGGCATACAGTGACCTTGAGGTCAGCCTGACCATAGGAGACTTGCTCAGCTCTTCCAGTGTAGGAGCTGGCAGGTGGCCTCAGGTGCTGTGTCTGCACAATGCCCCAGTGAGAAGTGAGACAATTAATACCACACCTAATGGAGCTGTTATTGTTACCTTATTTAACTCTAACAGCAACCCAGAGAGGAAAACATAGGGATCTATTTATAGACAAGCAAACGGAGGCTCACAGGAGCTAAGAAATGCATGCATGGTCTTACAGACGAGAAGCAATTTTACTGAGATTTAAGTCCAATTTGATGCTATGATTTGCTGTTTTAACTCCCACTCACTATGACGTGTGTGTGTGTGTGTGTGTGCATTCAAGTGTGTGTGTATGTGTGTGCGTGTGCACAGATACACGAAAAGTGTCCAGCACAGTATGTTACACAGTGTGTTTATTACACAGTGAGTAGCTTCTGCATTTACTGTATTAATTATTACCACACATACTTCTCAGAATTTAGGCGGAAGTGATAAAACTTCAGCATGGCTGGTAAAAGTAGAGGGTTTTCTAAGATATTAGAAAAATACAAGAATCTCATTCCCATGTGAACTGTCAAAAAGAGGAGGCCACCACCCACAGGTAATTCCCGGTAGAATTCCCTATAATTATGAAACCTGGAGAAATGGACGTATCAAACCATAAGGGAGTGGTTATATAAATTACGGTTGATTTCTTTGCTGGAAAATTACACACCCACTTAGAACAATGATAATATGACTTAACATGGAAAGTGTTTATTATATAATTACTATTACAGAAAAGATGCTGGATATAAAAATTCTATTTTTGTTCTAATTACACCTCTATTAAAAAATATCATCTGCATGTCAAAGAGAGCAGAGAGGGAATATGAAGACAGTTGATGTCTTAAATGCTGGATTGAGGGTTTCTCTCTTTATAATTGATTCAATAATTCAACCATATCTTATTGAGAACTTACCAAGTGTCAGACATCAAGTTAAGCATAATTACTAGTGTGGGTTATATTAGGCTGCAGGAAAGCTTGAAGAGACAAGAAGGTTTTATTGCCTCCTGAAAGCAGCTCAAAACTGATATGGAGTTTACATCCTTAGAGTACCAAGGTCCACAGCTTTCCACCAGGTGACTCTGGAGGGCCACGCTCGCATTCCTGATGGGCAGGCCATGCCCCTTCCCAGGGAAGGTCTGAGGGAAGGCTGTACACCGTACCACCTGCACGCCAATGTGCCAGTCAGGGAAGGCTGTACACAGCACCACCTGCATGCCAATGCACCAGTCAGTTCTTGGTTATGTAATCACCCCAGCTGCAAGGTAGAGAGGGACATTTCATTTCATAAGCAGTGCTAAAGAGCAAGGCTCTGCTGATGTGGGAGAGAGGGGAGGACAGCAAAGGGGTACCACATCCTGTGTGACTTTCCCTGGGAGAGGTGTGAACAAAGGTCTCTTCACCCCAGAAAGGACACTGATGACCAAGAAACCCTTCCACTTGAGTCCAGCTTGGTAAACCGATGAGTTCACTGGCGTTTCTTGCTGGAGCAGGAGTGAGGAGCATGGCCAACTGGAACCCACCCCAGCATGGGTGACAACTCTCAAGTGTACACAGCTCCACCAAAGACTGTCTGCTCCTGCCACTCGGCAGTGGTCTAGTGCTTTTACAGCTGTGTGCATCTGGTGGTGTCCTGAGTGTCTGGACCTGATAAGGTGGATGAGTTTTTTAGAAAATTATTATGGGGTGTGTGTGTGTGTGTGTGTGTGTGTGTGCTACAGGCATGTGAGTGGCTCAGCATGTGTATGGGAGTTGGAGGATAATTTGGGGGTGTTGTTTTGGAGAGTCAGTGCTCTGTCTTCACTGTGGACTCTAGGTTTATGTGGTTTCACCTACTAAGCCGTCTGGCTGGCCCGAGTTTCCCCAGTTATGATGTTCCCTATCCCTCCAAGAGAGTGTATCAGTTTGAAGGAAACAGATAGATAACATAACACTGGGGACCAAGTGTGAATTGAGGCCATGTCTTTGAAGAGCCCTGCATTGAGGAGAGACTTTGTGTGTCAAAGAGCAATTGTGGACCACCTCTGGAGTGCTGTGCTGGGGTTGTGGGACCCCAGGGGGTGGGGTGGGGAACTCTGCCTGGAGTTCAAAGCCTTGGCCTCTCCACCTTTGGGAGGATTCTGCCTTTATGGATTGTTACCATGACTGAGCCCCTCCTACCCTGCTCATATCAGATGGCACCCTGCTTTTTAGGACCTGTCTGCCCTCACTGGAGCAGGGGTGAGAGGTCCTCTTGACCCAACCTAGGACTGACTAGCCAGTGCTTCTGGGAGTTGAGTGGAGTGGCAGGTTCTAGAGCCATGTTCTGACTGGTCCGTTAGACTGACTGCTCATCCAGTTCCCCTTCTCTCTACCTGTTGTATCCCAAGAAGTCCATAGTGAGCACTCCACTCCCCACCATCTATTTTTGGCTTAAGGTAGCTAGGGAGACCAAAATAAACGGAGCTAATTCAAGGGCTGAGGTAAGTTAACAAGGCTTCGATTTTCCCAGTGTGATGAGAAGCCAGTGGGGGTTTGAAGGAGGGCAGGGCAGGCTTTCCAGGCAGGGAGTCAGCAGTGTATAAATCTGGAAATCTTTTATTTCTGTGAGTGGTTTATTGATTGGACAACAAAATGACCACCAAGAGGAGAAAATACTTAACAAGGCATTAGAGGGCAGGGAACGGGAGGCTGCTGATGCCTCCTGGGGGAAGGGCTTGGAGGCCTGCCATCCAAGAAGCTTGGCTGTGTGGTCCTGGGCACACCAGCAACCTCTCTGAACCTGTGCCTTCTGTTCAATAAGAAGATCGAGACTATTTAAGTGAATTTAAAACCACAGCTAAATGTGATAGTGAACATCTGTAACCTCAGTACTCAAGAGGTAGAGGCAGGAATCTCAGGAGCTAAAAGTTATCTTTGGTTATTGAGTTCTAAGGTAGCTTGGGTTATATGAGAAGCTGTCTCACACAAACAAGAAAACAAAACACATACACGCAGGTGCACACACACACATGCATGCACACAACACCATCACTACCACTACCACCACTACAACTGAGCTGGGCATGGTGATTCACACCTTTAACCCCAGCACTTGGGAGGCAGAAGCAGGCAGATCTCTGTGAGTTCAAAGCCAACAGTCACCCAGGGCTACATAGTGCATTTTTATCTCAAAACAAACAAAGAGACAAACAAACACAAAACAAACCTTGCAGAAATATCTAGGGAGACTTTAATATGCTATTCTCTCCAGGCCTGGCTCAACCCCATGTCACAGCGACCCCTACTCTGTCATGATCTCTCTGCAATCTATCCACCAGCAACTCCAGCCTGGTGGCGGGTGCCTCCTGTGTTCCCATTTTCTCCCGCTGGTGTGGCCAAGCACATTAGCCCCTGGAGGCTGCCGCACTCCTCGCCAGCCTTCCTGCCGTTATCTCTGCCTCCTTCTACTTCTTATCTACAGAACAGACACCATGACCTTTAAAAAACCAAAACACTCAGAACAAGTGACAGAAGGCAATCTGAAGAGATGACCTGTCTCAGTCACTTCCTGCTGCGGGGATCGAACACCATGGCCAGAGAAACTTAAGGAAGAGAGAGTTAATCTGGGCTTATGGCCCATCATGGCAGAGAAGCATGGCAGTAAGGGACTGGCATGGTGGCAGGAGGAGGAAGCTGACAGGTCACATCTGACTTCAGATATGAAGGAGAGAGAGAGAGAGAGAGAGAGAGAGAGAGAGAGAGAGAGAGAGA